GGGCACAGGGAGTCCTGGGGCTGGGGGTGGCAGAAGGAGGGTTTGGGGGAGTGGAGGAAACGGCGTGGCAAACGTTAGAGCGAGCAGGAGGATGGGGGGGGAACCCCTGCCCCGGGCTGGCCCTGCCTGTCTCCGAAAAGCCCGGAGGTGTGACGGGGGGAGCCGGGCAGGGGCCCCATCCCGTCCCACCCCGGGAGCCGCACGGGGAAGGCAGGGCTGAGCACACACAGCTCCTGGCACTGGGATGGAGGGGGACAGGGGATGGTGTGTCCATCTGCCTCCCTCCTCCCGGGCAGGAGACCCCGGGACAGCCTGGCCTGTCCTGGCGGCGGAGCAGAGATGCTCCCCCCAGCCCCCGGGACGGGGTCGCTGCCCCCTCACCCCCTCCCCAGCTGCCAGGCTCTTTCAGCAGGTCCCAGATGAACACAGCCCGGGCCCGGGGGTCCCACGGGCGCCGCGTCCCCCAGGGCCAGGAGGGTCTGAGCTCCCCACGCTGCCTCCAGGCTCCAGCCCCCCGAGAAAGGACCTACCTCTCCCTGCCCTGCTGCCTCACCTGCGGCCCCCGGAGCCGCCCCCGGGCTCCGCCGTCACTTCAGCAAGGATATGTCATCGGCAAAGTCGTCGTGGTCCCGCCGCAGGCAGTGGAAGCAGCGCCACTGGAACACCATGAGGCAGAGGGGCAGCATGAAGAGGGCGCAGATGGCCGCCATGACGTAGGCGATGGTCATCAGGGTGGACTCGTCCGTCTGGGGGATGTTGTAGCCGCAGTCCTCCATGTTGGGGTGCAGGTAGGGCCCCTCCACCGCGGCCGTCCGGAACTCGTCGTGCACTGCGGGCAGAAGGCAGGGCTCTGGCCACCGCGCTGCCACCTCCCCTCCACCTCTCCCTCCCTCCCTCTGTGCCCAGCCCTCACCATGGCAGGCGCTGACAGCGAAGCCGATGCGCTTGCGGGCACGGTCGAAGACCACGTAGAAGCCCTCCATGATAACGGCGCCCATGACGGTGCCCGTGGAGGACTGGGAGATGGCGAACTTGTAGCAATCGTCCTGAGAGGTGGCCACGTCCTCCACCGGGCGCAGGTATTGCTGCAGGAGGAGCGGGGGCATCAGGAATGGGGATGGGGCCAGAGCTGTGCCCCCCCAGCGCGGTCCTGGCCACGCCACCAGCTCCAGCCCCCCTCCAGCTGGGCACCGGGCAGGGTCTGGCCCGGCCAAGGCTCACCTGGGGCAGGATGGTGATCCGGAAGGACTGGTTGGTGGCCTCCCCCATCAGGTAGAGGGAGAGGACGGGAAAGATGTGCCAGGGGGTGGTGCCGACCTGCCAGCAAACCAGCTGCTCCCCCAGCCAGAAGCCGTCCGGGAACTTCTCCGTCTGCGGGAGGGAAGGGGAGGTGAGGGAAAGGGGAGGTGAGGGGCACCGCGCCGGGCAGGCAGCAGAGATGCTCAGGCTGGTCGCCAGGCTGGCCACAGCCCCACGTTGGCCCTGGGGACATGCCCACGGGGGACAGGGACGGGTTTCACTGACCGAAGAAGCTGTTTTGATGGATTTCACCGCAGCCTCAAACACCTTCTTGGGCAGCCTGAGGTTGGTGGTCCCGCTGTCCACGATGCTCTTGTCGTAGTTGTACTGGGGGGCAGAAGAGGAGGAGTGACCCGGGTGCAAGACCCCAGCCCCGATCGCCCTCTGACCGAAGGTGGTGCCAAAGCAGGGCCCCCGTGGGGCAGGTCCTCACCTCTTTGCAGTCCATGTTCAGGTCCTGCCCGTTGACCTCCAGCTTGACGATGATGACCTCGTAGTACCACTCCTTCCGGATGGGGGTGTACCAGATGTCACCCACGTACAGCGAGCGGTCGATGCCACCGATGATCTGCAGGGGAGACACAAAGGTGCTGCTGGCTCCAGCTGGGCACGTCGCCCCCCGGCAGCCCCCCCAGCCTCCCTGCTGCCCCCCCAGCTCACCATGCTGCCCCCCACCGACGCCAGGGTCTCCGTCTCGTTGGGCGAGAAGCCTGCCCCACAGAGCTGGAGGGAGAAGATGTTGGGCACCCGTGTCTGCTTCACCAGGGAGTCGAAGAAGGGCTCCAGGCTGTCGTCGGGCTGGAGGGAGGAAAAAGCAGAGGCAGGACAGGACGTGTCAGCACAATCCCTTCTCCAGGGGAGCTCCCCTCACCAGGACCACTGTGCCCCCAGGGATCCTGGCTCCTTGTGCTGTCAGGGCAGGGCTCAAGGTCACCAGCTGGGCCCCAGGGGACAGAGGGGAGGCAAGGAAAGAGGCATCGAACCCTGCTGGGACCGGGTGCCCACCTCTGCCCCAGCCAGGACTCACCCGGGCGATCTCGGCGTACGCCAGCCCCAGGATCCCCTCCCAGTTGGAGCCGTTGATGAAGAATTTGTCGGACTCGGTGATGGCGGCGATGTTGGCTCTGACGGTGACGTTGGGGCCGTGGGGGATGGTGACAAGGTCGGTGCCCAGTTCCCCTTCCCACTTGCCCTGGGTGTAGGGCACGTACACGCCCTTCCGCAGGTCACGGTAGGTGCTGGATCTGCAAGGACATCAGAGAGAGAGTCAGAGGGGTGTGGAGGAGGAGCACGCTGGGTGACGAAGGGAGCACCCGCGTGCACAGGATCACAGAATCACGGAATCTTCTAGGTTGGAAGGGACCTTAAAGATCATCTTGTCCAACCGTCAACCTAACTGACAAAAATAGACACCCACACAACAAACAAGGAGCATCATCACTAAACCAGACCTCCCAGCACTACATCAACCCGTCTTGTGAACACCTCCAGGGATGGTGCCTCAACCCCCTCCCTGGGCAGCCCAGTCCAATGCCTGAGAACCCTTTCGGTGAAAAAATTGTTCCTAATATCCAGCCTGAACCTCCCCTGGTGTAACTTGAGGCCATTTCCTCTTGTCCTGTCACCTGTGACTTGAGAGAAGAGACCGACCCCCACCTCTCTACACCCTCCTTTCAGGGAGTTGTAGAGAGCAATAAGGTCTCCCCTCAGCCTCCTCTTCTCCAGGCTGAACACCCCCAGTTCCCTCAGCCTCTCCTCACAAGACTTATTCTCCAGACCCCTCACCATCTTTGTCGCCCTTCTCTGGACCCGCTCCAGCACCTCGATGTCTTTTTTATGGTAGGGGGCCCAAAACTGGACACAGCCCAGCATTTCGAGTGTAGAGGTGTGCCTGTCCCCAACCCGTGTGGCTGGGCGAGGACAACACGCTTCTCCACGCGTGTGGCCGCTGGGGTCCCCACCAGGGGTTGGTGAGGCAGCAGGATGGCTCCTTGCAGCCTGGGGACAACCCAGCGGTTGGTTGCCGTGCACAACAGCCAGTGGCCCAGACACCGTCTTAAACGTTCTGGGAGGGTGGGCAGGAGGCCGAGGGTCCCTCCTTCTCCAGACCCAGCAGGCCCGGAGGCTGGGGGTACCTCTCAGGGTCTGGCTGGACACCCAGACAGCCAGGGACAGCACCCCTCGGAGGGGTTGGGGCTGTGTCACAGGTACACAGAGCGGTGGCCACGCTCCCTGCGTGCCCCCACACACTCACAGCTGCCGCTGGTAGTATCTCCGCAGGAAGGGGTGAGGCGCAGCTCCCACGGCGAAGTTACTGCTCCCCGTGTCCACCAGGATATTCAGCTGGAGAAGGGAGAGACGGGGAGGCTCGTCACCGCCGTGCCACCTGCCCAGCTCTGTCTGTCACCCGTCCCCACGCTGGGCAGGTGGTGGCCACTGTCCTGTGTGCTTCCTGAGCAGCAATGGCTCCGGGTGCCCAGCTGGGCAGCCAGCCTGGCTCTGCCCTCCCACCCAGGGCCAGGACCTGCCCCACGTGCCCCTTCCCAGCAGCTGGACCCTCCTCCAGCCCCACTGTCGGGCTCCCTGGGGCTGGCAGGGCTCAGCCCCCCTCCATAGGCATGGGGACAGGGACAGGGAGGCTGCCCCGGTGCCTGCTGCACCCCGGGGTGTCCCCAGCAGGCAGGGGGGATGCCATGCAGCAGCACAGAGCCCCGAGCTGAGCAGGGTCCCTCTTTTTGCCGAGCCAGGGGACAGCTCGGGGACGCCGTGCGAGAGGACACCGCGGCGGAGCAGGAGTCAGCAACATGTGGTGTTGCAGGAAAAGCAAACACCGCCCGGCACCGTGCAAACAGAGTGTGTGTTCTCCTCCCAGCACTGCCCAGCAGGATTTGGGGGACAGGGGCAGCAGCAGCAAAAGGGGGTGCCCGGGCTCCCCTTGCCAGGAAACCTAATTTGCCCACCAAGCCGGTCGGAAGGGATTGATGGCGCAGAAGCCGCCCCGGATCGCCGGGTCCGCTAATCGGCCATCCATATGCTGAGCTCTGCTCCCGGTTCATTTCTGCCGGGGCCCTGGATTACCGGCTCACGGGCAGGGTTTGGCAAACGTCCCGCCGGCAGGGCCAGGGGGGGGCTAGCTGGACCCTGCCCCCAGATGAGCCCTGCCTGCAGCCCCTGCCCCACGGGAGGAGCGGTGTGGGGACGGCTGGGGTGGGACGGGGGCTCTGGGGGGGCTCCCCACGCTGGGGCTGAGCTCTGACCTCCAGCCCCAGGGGGGGCTTCACCAGCACCACCCCAGCCAGCAGAGTGCCAGGGCTCCGGCCCTTAATCCGAGGGGTCAGAGGGGAGAGGAAGGAGGATAATGCGCTTGTGCTAATCGCAGAAGCGCTGGGCTACAGCTGCCAGAGTTTTCCCTGCGGCTCCCTGACAGGGGCTGGCTGCACACACCGTGTCCTGGGCTCCCCTCTCCCCATGCTGTGCTGGGGGACAGCTCTCCCCGGCCCCCAGGCTGCCTTCTTCACTTGGGAAACCATTCTGCCGGGGGTAGAGATCAGAGCAGCACGTTTGCCCCTCCACTATCCCCCTCAGGTGAGCGCCGAGGGCTGCTGGGCCAGCTCAGCACCCGCTGCGCAGCCCGACCTTCCCCTGGCAACGCGGCACCTGCAGGCTCTGCGTTCCCCGGGGGGGTTCTGTTTGCTCAGTCCTTGGGGACCATCTGCTCCACACGGCTCATCCCCACGGTGCCCCGAGGAGACGGCTCTCCCTGGAGAGAGACCTGCCGAGCTGAGGCTGCGGAGAGAGGCTGTGGGCAGCAGGGAGGGTTTCTGCTCTCGCCCGTCCCACAGCTGCAGTGGTGCCGGGGCGAAGAGCCAGAGCCACCCCTACCTGCGGCCAGACAGCCCCGACCCCGGCCAGTCCCCACCGGGCTGGGGGTACGACACGCGTAAGCAACAGTGGGAGCAGCGGCGGGGACCCACACCCCGCAGGCTCCTTCCTGCTGAGGGGGTCACGCAGAGGACCCCCCCGGAGAGCACCCGCATCCCTGAGACTCGGCTCCCCCGGCGATTCAGGCCAGGACACGTGAACCGGGGAGGCCAGGACATGTGTATCTGAAACCCGGCCGCTGCTCCCTGGAAGTGACAGCCCCTCCGGGCACCTCGGCGGCAGTGGCTCTGCGCGGTGCCTGCCCTGGTGCTGGCACAGCGAGCCTCCACCGGCTCCCAGAGGCACCAAACCTCCGTCATCTGCCCCAAAAGCATCAGCTCCCACCCTCTTTCCCGTGTATTTACAGATCCTGGGGGGCCCGGCGTGAGCGTGCAGCGAAACCAAGGTGCAAAGGGACAGGGAGAGTGAGGGCAATCAGCTGCTGAGGGTGACTTCGCAGCACAGCACAGCTCAGAACCAAAATTAAAGCGCCACAGAATAAAGAAACGTCCCTGGCAGCACCAGGAAGGGGAGAGGAGGGAGATGAGGCATTCGTCTGCCTTTGAGAAAGCTGCGGGCCCCCCCCCAGATAACTCCCCTCCCCGATTTCCTGCATATGCACAGCCGTACTCTTTCCTGTGAATCTTTTAATTCCATTACAGCGCCTGCAGGGATTGTGCTCCCGCGCACACACACACACACACGCACCACGTTCACATTTGGAAGGAGTCCAAGGCTGGAAGATGGTGCCCAAAAGGGTGACGGGCTCCGAAAACACACGAGTGCCTGGAAACAGGTGGTTTGCATGGAAATTATCTGGCAGCTGCGACACGTGGCAGAGCCCAGGCAAAAGATGATGAAATCCCGTTTTAAAACTAGATTTTAGACATAATCTCCTCCCTTTTTCCCTAAACACACCCTGGAGAGCAGAGAATAAAGCCCAGGCACACAGAGGCACCATGGAATGGCTCCGAGAGGCCTAATTTCTGTACTAACCCCCCATCCATGGTTCATGTCTCACTGGTGATGCTCTCTCCCCCCACGTGTGCGGAGCTGTGCCGGGCACCCAGGATGGAGCCAACTCATGGGGAAAAAGCCAGCCTTTCCTTCCCAGCCTGCGTGGGCACTGGCTGTTTTGGCAGCCCCAGCCTACAGGGTGGGTGGTAGCCGTGTGGTAGCCCAGCCCTGGAAGGAACGTGGACCCTCCAGCACCGAGCTGGTCCCCGCCACCCGCTGGGTGAGACTTGCCCGTGACCCTGGTGGGTACGAGGGTACGGGCACAAAGGGATTCGGCAGCAGGAACCTCCACAGCATCACCCATAAAAGAGGGGAGGAGCTGGTCCACCCTGGGCACAGGGCCCTGGGCACCCATCCTGCCCCAGCGCGGGGGGGGACGGTGCCACGCAGCCCCCAGGGTCGTGACAGGCATGGATGAGAAGATGGAGGGGAGCCCGGTGATGCACCAGCTCCTGCTCTGCCTTGCCCTTTCCAGCCAGGCCCCCGCTGTCCCCCCACTGCTGTCCCCCCACCCCCGGCCTGCTGGAGACCCCCGAGACAAGCGATCCCGGGGGGACGCCCGGGCCAGGGGTGGCCGGGGAGCCAGGGGGCTGGGGAGGAAGGTGCCAAGCGTGGCTTCCATCACCCCCTGGGCACAGGGGGGCACGCCAGGCCCCCACCCGCTCGCCGCCCACCCAGCTCCTGCCGGGGGGCACCCCTGGGCCGGGGAGGGATGGCAGCCCCCCCGCCCGAGCCGGGAGTCACCTTC